GCACAGTAAGATTACAAACCGTTTCCAATGTGGACTTATCTGCACAGTTAACTATTCCTACTCAACTGTGCTGGTGGAATGCATGTAGTGATATGATAATGGTTCTCTACTATAGTACTACTGTATAGTATATAGTGTCTACTGAACCTGCATTATGCTAACTAACTCTAAATATTACTCATATATAATATAGCCTATCAATATATTCATATAATATTATGCAAATAAATGTCTTTCGTAGCTTGTCTGGAAACTTTACTCTTTCTATATGATGTGATCATCCTCCATAGTGTACTCGCTCCATTGTTTACCAACAGAATTACAGTGTTGCCCACTCTTGCATCACCATACTTATGTACATTGTAATCCTGATTTCGTAGGACCACAGTGGAAAAAGAAACAGTAACAGTGCCAACTGTTCAGAATCGACATGATTTCCCAAAGAGAAACAGGTTGGAAGAGTTTTCATTATATCCCATCTTCTGATCTAATTCAAAACTCTGCATTAAAAAAGTGGACCACTGGAGCACAAAACCTTAAAGTGGCTTGGGTATATTTTTAGCAATAGCCAAAAAAGCATTGTATGGGTCAAAATTATAGAAATTTCTTTTATGCCAAAAATCATTAGGATATTAAGAAAAGATCATGTTCCATGAAGATATTTTGTAAATTTCCTACCGTAAATATATCAAAACTTAATTTTTGATTAGTAATATGCATTGCTAAGAACTTCATTTGGACAACTTTAAAGGCGATTTAAAAAAAAAAAAAGGTTACTTAAACGGGGAAATTTCTTACCATTTGAGTGCGAGGACAGCAAAGTGGTGAACCTAGTAATAGGGTTGATGTTAGTGTGAGGAGTGAGATGGCAAATTGTGATAGTTAAATGGTTGAGTCGTCCTAAATTCCAGTCCTTTTGGGAAGGTCCTTCCCATGAGTCTGGATTAATTTCAATGAGTCTGGGTAATTACAATGGGAAAGTTTATATTTCTTAAAATATTTTTCACTTCTTGACACAGACAAGAAACATTTTAGCGCTATGAAACAAAATGAAGATGAAATGCACTAAGTTTGAATATTTGGGGAAGATCAACCAATCTGCAGTAGTAGTTATGATGGGAGGCCTGATCAAGAGTTGTCAAAGCAAGAGCATGGTTAGGTAGCTTCTGAAAAATGGTCTTCTAGAGCAGTGGTTCCCAACCCTGGTCCTGGAGGCACCCCAACACTGCATGTTTTGCATGTCTCCTTAATCAAACACACCTGATTCAGATCATCAGCTCATTAGTAGAGACTCCAAGACCTGAAATTGGTGTGTCAGAGAAAAGAGACATGCAAAATGTGCAGTGTTGGGGTGCCTCCAGGACCAGGGTTGGGAACCACTGTTCTAGAGGCAGAATAGCTTGTCAAACATACAACAGTGTTGGACAAGCTACTCAAAAAATTATTAGTATAAATTGCTTGCATTCCTCATCTGCTATCTTTTACATTATTTAAAAAAAGCACTGTAGGCTATAAACAAACAAACAAAAAAAAGAATAGTAAAAAATTAACTTAAAGAATAGATTTGTTTTATGCTGCCTTTATGACCTTTTTGGATCTTTAAAATTTTGGTTACCTGGACTTTTGATGGAGGAACAGAAACCTCTCAGGTTTCATTTAATTTGTGTTTTGAAGATTAGCCAGAGTCCTCAGGGTTTGGAATGACAATGGTGAGTAAACACAATTTAAATAAAATAAAATAAAATACATTTTTGGGTGAACAATGCTTTAGAGGTTGCTATTGTCCAGTGGATTGTGCAATATTTTACTCATACTGATTTTATTAAGAATGTCTGTGACGAGTGGCGCAGGTGTCGCTCATTTATTCCAACATCCTCGCTCCGCTCCCACGGCTCTCTGCCCCTCTCCACTCGTCACAATGTCCTTTTATGTAATTTGTGATCTTAGTGATCTTTAAATACCATTCAGAAAATAATGAATGTCCTGATGTTTGGTACATTAGTCTGAATGGGTCTTTAAAGGGGTCATCGGATGCGACATGCACTTTTACAAGCTGTTTGAACTGAAATGTGTGTTGGCAGTGTTGGGCTGTGATGCGCATCTCGTCAGTAAAGCCACTTCTGGTGATTAGTAGTAAATCTCCAGCACGTGCTTTCAGATGGAACGGCATTTACTACACAGAGCCGTAGATCACTGACAAGCTACACAAAATCTGTAAAATATTGACGAGATTCGCATGAAAATCGCATTCGATATTTTTGCCCAGCCCTACGGCAGTGTGTGTACACAACCACCATATATTGATAAAGATCCACCCAGTGTTTTTTTTTATCTCATTAAATCATTTCCCCTTTCTCAAATCTAGCTGATTTCAGATGACGTCACACAGACAGGCCCCTCCCACGATTGTTTGATTTACACTGGTGGGTCAGTTTCAGCAGATTGGACTGGTGTCTTACCTCAGACCCGCCCTGAGTCAGCTGACATCAGTCCGCCATTGTTTCACCACTGGAGCAGATGTAGACAAGAATGACTCCTAAGCGATTGAGGTGTTCTGTTGTTGGATGTAATAATGAACATAGCAGTCGTCCTTTACTCCCGACATCTGAGCCGCTGAAGACGCAGTGGATTACATTTGTTTCTGAAGGGAATGCGCCCCCGATCTACCTAAATGTGTCTATCTTCGTGCGAATCAAATCGCCTTTCCTAATAACGTGCTAGTTAGCAGGTTTCATGATGAATGCGGCTAAAGTTTACCGTCTCTCAGAGAGCAGCTCGGAAGTGAGGGGCGGGGCGAGCAGAGCTCATTTGCATTTAAAGCGGCATGCAAGAAAACAGCTTGCTCTGAAAAGATCTGTTTTTGACGGGGTAAAAACGGTGTTGTTTTACACTACCATTTAGAAATTTTAACCAAACTACACAGACTTTTCATTAAGACCCTAAAGAATCATATCAACTTGTGGAAAATTGGCGTCCAATGACCCCTTTAAAGAAATTAGAGCCTTTCATAATATATTAACAATTTTGAGCCTGAAGGTATGGTGAGCTGGAAAATGAGTTGGCAGCCCAGATTATACTTTTATGTGAACATCATATACAGCACCAGGGAAGCACTCTGAAGCTATTTAATGTTGTAAGAAAATGTTTGGCCTAAGCTAAATTATTGGCTTAAACTAAAAACTCTATGTTAGCATCCACTGTGAGAGAACAAAAGAAATTTCAATCAAGACCAATTTCAGTGCATTTGGTTTTGTGAAGAGAACAAGGGTGCAAACTAAAAACAAACGAACAAAAAACCCCAAACCAAACAAATTCAGAAGCACACATATCCCAGCATACATTTGATTTTAGGATTTATACAGTTACAGATTTATTAAACACATTGCCAAACATATTTTCAGTCCTCTTTTTAAAGCTTAGGATTTAAAACTGATTTTTTTTTTTTT